TTTCCCATGATTGAAAAAAAAAACATCTTTCCGTCGAATATGGCCCACCCTGTATATATATATCTCTCTCTCTCTCTCTCGTGCTGTCTGCATCTTCCTCCATCTCTCTTGCCGCATCACGATGCATCCGCATTACTCGCGCGCACATTGCTGCACCGCGTCACGCATACATTGCTCGCGCGTAGCACACGCTCCTCTCCTCTCCTCTCCTCTCCTTTTTTCTCTTCGCCACTACGATCTCCCTCCGCGAGCGATTCGCCCCACCAGTACTCGCGGCTCCTCGCGACGAGGAAGAGGTGGACGAGTCTCGGCCACTTGGTGAAGTTTACTCGTGTTCTCGGCCTAGTACTAGTTCTGCCGCAATCGTGTCCGCACGCGAGATTCACGCTCGCGCGAAGCTTCTTCCTCGCGGCGAATTTCTTCAGCGAAAATCGGGAGGGGAGAAAGTTTTTCAGAATCTCAGGCGTTGATGCTCCAGCCGCTCTTACCAGGTTCGTTCGCGTCGATCGACTTTTCCGGCCGAGCGTTGAAGGTCCGAAAATGAGATCCGGAAGCGAAAGGACGTCGTGAATCGTGTTTTCAATGGCGACACGCAGCCGCTTATTGGTGTAAAAGAACGCTCTCGCGTGGGAAAGTTGAATGAACTTTGGGTGCAGCTGCTGCCGTTGCTCTCTGCGTTTGGCACGTTCATTGTCCCTGACCTATCCCGAGGGGGGGGGCGTCTGGAATTTTCAACCTTGAGTGCCCGATCGTGATTCGCGAGCGTGCAGCCCGTGTAGCCGGCGAGTGAAGTTTGTTCTCCGGCCAGTTCTCCTGGTGACAGTGATCTAGTAAAGTGCTCAAGGTTTCACGCCGGGTCAGTTCTTGAGACCGATCTCGATGCTCGGGGCGGCGCAGCTGATTGTTTTAACGTCGCAGTTCGAACTGTCGTTCCTTCGTTTTGTTTCATTCAAGTGGATTCATTTAAATGGCTATCAATCTGTGGACTTTGATCTACGGACTACGTTACTTCACTCTCGCCACCTGACATTTGTCGCGACATTCGTCTGATACGAGTAGACTCATTTGTTTCTGTCATTATTTTTATCTGCTGCTTATAGATATTCATAGAGGTTTGAGCAACTGAGGATTTAATAAGAAAGGATACCTTCCACCGATAGTGGTATGGGAGTCAGCTCGTGGGTGACCTCGCGGAGATTCCAGACAGATGCGCGTTGGTTAATCGAGACGATTTATGTCCCAAGCGATTTCGCAATTTCTTTTAGAAGCGTCACGTTTATGGTCCATTTCGAGAGTCGGGCTCCGTCTCCGGACGACGATAAATAGTTGGACGAGTAGTTGTAATTAATTCCGCGCACGTGATAGCGATACTCGGTCGTAGTCTCGGTGCAGTTTTATGATCGTGCGATGCGCTCGGACGTGGGACGCATAAGTGCGTTTTTCCGTGCCGGCTGTATAAGAATACGCGAACCGGTTGCGACTCGAAATATAAATTTTCATACTAAAGCGAATGTTTTGTTATTAATTAATGCTAACGTAATAGACTCGTAACTTTAAATTTGCATCGGCCTGTTTATTACAGGAGCGTATCTATACGTACACTTCTAATGACGCAGGCGTAAAAAAATTAATATCTTGGATAAGTTGCGTCTCTAAATACTCATTATTTCAAATATTTATCTTTTATTGTATCAAATAAACGTATATCAATCAAACGTATATCAATCCTTAAATGCCACTACAGGAACAACACTTGTGTAAATAATTTCTTTTAATTAAATTGTCAGACAGAAGGCCTAGTTTTTTTATTTTCTAGTCAACTTGCGATTTTAAATTAACTTCATTTAATTTTGTTTGGTGTTTGTGTATAAAAATTATTTTTTCACCTATGATTAATCACTAAAATTGACTTTAAAAGTTACTGCAGAACTATCATTGCAGTTCAATTTTTACATTATTATCAAATTAAATCTGACTAAAAGTTAACCAGAAAATGGAAAACTGAAATATAATAATAACAATATTGATTACAGTATTATATTAATTACAATAAAATGGCTTTGAGAGTGAACGTAAAAAGCAGTTTTTAATTAACATTTTTTAAATTTCGAAGAGTCCATATTTGATTTTTAATTGTTTCAATTGTGAATAACAATACTGAGCAAACATATATATTTTTATTAATAAAAAGGACAAAGGCAAAAGCATTAAAAAAGTATTAGAAAAAAAAAGTCTGCTTATGTCATATCGAAGAGACGTCGTATTATTAAAAATTAACAATACATGAAATACAAGAAATTCTGAAGAAGCTACCTGAAACTCGAGAAGTGCACGGCGACGCTGGTGTCCTAATTACCGCGTTCCTTCACGTACAATAGCATTAAGATAAGTTTAAGAGATACGTGACGTTAGCTCGCGCGATGTTAATTATAATATAATAATACGCACATGCGTACGCATATAAGCGAAAACTAAAACCACCACTGTCTTGGTTGTGCAGGTCTTAGTGCTGATTCACCGCGGAGACTGCAAAGGCGGACATCATTATTGGTGAGTAACGATTACTCATGTTAACGTAGAATTGTTTTTGTGGTCAAACTTGCGTTTTATGAATCGCTGTTTGGTACACGGCATTTCCTTGCGACGTGGATGACTCGAGCAAAAGAGATTCTCAGGAAACGCCCTTATTACGTTGCTACGTGCGGTGGAAACGAGTCGCGCTCTGAATGGGATTGCGATTAGCGAAAAGCGGGTCGCGACGTTTTCGCCTGCTGGCCGCGAAAGGCGAAGGCGAAAGCAAAGCCGGTGCAAAGCAAAACGGTCCGTGCGCACGGAGAAGGGTTAGGGAAGAGGGAAGAGGGACGAAGGACGAGGCAAAGTGGTCAGACTGGTGTAACAGGACGTTACCCCCTGGTTGCATACAGCAAGGGCAGGATGCGATATTGTTATTGCGCCTTCCTTCATCCTTCGCGCACGGTTCTCTCGGGTCTGCTGCAGCCAGTGGTTCTCAAACCTTTCTAGCTTTTGGAAATTCGTTGAAGATTGTTTTCCTTCACTGAGAGAAATGAATTTTTCGTTACAGGAACAAATCGAGGGAAAGCAAATGTGATATTTGTTAAAAAAACGATCTATTTGTTACGATTGCAAATTACGATTCGTCACTGTAACAAATAATCAATAGTATCGCAAATAAGAGGCTCGTATATAAGTCGTAGACGGTTGCAAGGTCTGAAATTGTAAGAAATTGACCAATTCTATTAGTCAAGTTTTTTGCCTGTATTAGATTGTGCTTGGTCGGTTTTCTACGACTTAAGATTCCACGATCATCTACGAATTCTATGTAAAAGAATCTAAAGTCTATTCAAAAGATGGGTTAGATTCTATATAGTTTGCTTCTGTTACTAATAATTGATTGATATAGCAGACTAGCAGCAATCACAACAAAATTTGTTGTCACGTATTTATTTACTATTTATTTACATCACGATTCTTGGCAATTAAATTAAGTCGTGTGTACATTTACAACTTTGTTTGAAGAAAGGTACATGTAGCTTTATTATTTAAAAATAATTTTTAATAAGATTATTAAAATAGCTTTTGGTCGTTAGTATCTATTCACGGATTTACTTGTACATTCGTTCTTGTTTTCTGCCTCCCATTTTCCTCGAATGCGAGTAACAAAGGTCAGACGAAGTTGAAATCCTGCCGATCGCGCTTTTTACCTTCAATCCGCCGCATCCCATCTGCAGTAATATTGTTACTCGGCTCGCGCATCTCGCTTTTCATCTCCCATCGCATTTCCATTACATTCCGCCGCGATGTCCCGATCCGCTGGAACGCAAAGTAGCGAAAACAAATGGCCCTCCGGAGATTAAAAATCACGCATCGTCGTACATTTTGTCTCGCGGCAATGTTATTTCGCGTTCACTCGTGATCGCAACACGTGAAACTATCTCGAATCACCAGTTCGCAATACAATCCTTTTTAGGTGTTGTGTACGCGTTCATAAACCACTGCATCGAGTCAGGTAGACCGCAAAGGGTTAACCTAATGCTACGAAATGGGATAGTTGACGCGTTGCGGCGTTGAATGAATCAGTCCTTATGCTGTATCAGTAAACGCGAACAATAGCACTCAGTGGTTTCACGGTATTTCCGCATCTCGATGGCTATTTTGGAATCTCAAATGCGTTAATACGATACATGAATATCGTAAAATCGTATCGAAGATTATAAGGTACCTTTAATTCGATATTTGCTTCGAAAATTCTTTAACTTCTTTATTCGCACGGAAAAAATGGTTTTGCTAAAGTATCAAAAAAATGTTAGTTAGATACAGAATTCGAAATAAATTTTGTTGGAATGTATATATCAAAATAATTAATTTATGGTGTCTAGCGACCCTTGAATATCCTGGAATTATACTGGAATTTTAATGAAATGTATTTTGGAAAATTTATGAAAAACTCAAAATTTCAGGGCTGGCCTAGAATTTATCGTTCTAAAAAAAGTCAGCGTGAAAAAGAGAAAGAAAAAATAAAAAGATAAATCTTCCCTTAAAAATGCAATAAGTTACTAATAAACTTGAATTTAATGTTTAAAATAGAACATAATAGAAAAATCATTTATGTTGACGGAATATTCGTTTGATATTATTTATAAAGCAATAAATAATATTGTTCCCATTTGTTAGTTTTTAATTCATTATTCGTACAGAATTGTAACTAACTTGAGTACAAAGCATACAATATTGTATGAGTCGATAAAAATTAATTAAATAATGAAAATTAAACGATGAATAAATCCTGGAAAAACTAGTATTTTTATCTGAAATGTCCTGGAATTATCCTTGAATTGACTGGCCAGATTTTGCTGAACATCATGAATTATGCTCAAACTGATTACATAGAATGTCAAAATTTTTTGCATTCATCATTTTAAATCAATGTCATTTTAAATCTTGATTTAAAATAGTTTGTGATTAAACGATTTTTTTTTATTTTGAAGATCAAAATCCAAAGAAAAAAATGTTGTAACTGAAAATTATACACCAAAAACATTTATTATAAACAATTTGTTATATGATTGAAGAAAATGTTCACTGGACCCGTGATGTACTTTTTTAAAAATGATATGTAAATCAATACATCATCTTAATTGTCAATCGTCTTCGATAGAACATTGAGATCAGTGAAACGTGACGTATTTCGTTTCGCATTCACGGTTGATAATTTTATGAGTTTTCTGCTCTCTTTCCTTATTGCTACGTCGACGACTATAGCATAAATAGCTTTAAGGATTGCGTTTCTCGACTAATTATTGCTCTTATTGCAACTAGGTCGATATCAGCTTTGTCACGTTTCAGCCAGGAGCTAACAATTTTCTTTTATGATACTCCTCTTTTACGATATCGTAGCAAGGAATGGATTTAGAGGTCGACTGGTAAACCACCTCACTTCTCTAGTGGCTAGCAAATTTTATTGCCATATTACGTGACGCTTCTCGAAAATGCATTCGCGCCAAATTGTTGACATTCTCAGAACATATAACAGTTTTGAACAGATAGCTCTTGCACAGCTAAATTGCGTCGCGTTGAAATAATTGCTACCAGCAAGAATTAAAGATTGATAAATCATGGAGACATGACAGTTACGCGCACAACTTGCGAAACATTCCGTACGGTAAATTCGCTACTTACGTTTACAAATTTACGACCGTTACGCGGGAATTCCTGCAAACAACGCCTCCGGCGTAATTAACGCCCATCGTAAAATTCGTCCCAAAATGTAGCATAATATTACATAATATTAATCAAGGACAGTCTAACAAAATGCTCCTTAACGAGTAGCGTTACAGACAGAGAGAAAGAGAGAGAGAGAGAAAAAGAGAATGCACACGTGCAATTCTCTTTCTCTCTCTCTCTCTCTCTCTCTCTCTCTCTCTCTCTCTCTCTCTCTCTCTGTAACGTTGAATAATATTGTGCGGACAAATAATTACTTTCTAGTCAACACACGCAACTTTGGCTTGTCAAAATAAGCGCCCGGACCTTTTCGTCGATTCCAAGAAAGTTTGCTGTGCCTCATGTCCACGAGGATTGTCATCGAGACGAGAATTTAGAGCAACGTTTGTCCAAATCATGATGTAAAAAGAAAGGTGTACCATTCCCGTGAATGCGCAATGGGAGAGTGAATTTTTGGTCGAACTTGATTAGCTGTTCCAGTACATTAGAGCTATTATACGCAGAAATCTCTAATCAAATTTGAGTGATTGTTTCCGGTTTGATTGCTATCACTGTGCAATGTTATACTTTTCGTTTTACATTACAGTTCGAATAATCTTATAATCGCGCGTTCCGCTACGTTTCAATGAAGCTATGGCGGCAATTGTTCAAATAGCCGCTATAGAAGAGAGAGAGAGAGAGAGAGAGAGAGAGGGGGGGGGGATCTAGGCCGATTTGCGCCGGTTGAATGAATGATGAATGAATGAATAAATGAATGAATTTGCGGACACAGGAATTCACATTCGCGCTAAATAAATTTGGTACCAACTCGTTGAGTCTTATTCATTTCCGGATTGTTCATTTCATAGAGTCTAATTTTAAGCTTGGCCGACTGGACGAACGAACGGTCGGACGACGGATGGACGGATGGTTGGGCGGATGGATAGATAGATGGGCGGCGAATGGATGGGTGGATGGATGGATGGATGGATGGATGGATTGGTAGATGGATGAACGGGTGGGAGTGCACGTGGAACGTGAAAGCTCGTTAGATGTTCGCCTTATGGAAATAATTGGATCGTCAGCCGCAGAAACGCATGCGCGATGATCGATTCCTGTTACGTCTTCCCAAAGATAGATACGATCTCAACGAGAATTGAATCACGTTGCTAAAGGAAATTTCGTTAATTATTTTAATAAAGAAGTAAAATATCAATTTAATCTATTCTCTAACGAATATTGTTTAATATTATTCAGGATGATTATATTTGCATTGGAAAAATGATTTTTTAATTGCGCATGTATCGCAAAAACAATATCTTCTCGTTACAAGAGCTTTCAGCAATATTGTCGATTTTTAATATTTTATTTCGTTAAAGCGAACTACGATCATCCATCGAATATACGCAATATTTAATTTAATGTAATATTAACATTTAATTAAAATACGAATTATGAAATAATGTATAATTAATAAAATAACGTATACTGATACATAACAATTGAATAATACATTGTTATATATTAAATGAATATTTCATCATTCTTTTTAAATTATTTCATCTTTAAGGTGCGATGATATTACACGATCAATTTGAGTCGCCTTAGCAGTATTAACCGGCACAAAGCTTAACTCGATTTATATCAAGTACAAAAGGGACAATCCTATTGCAGTGATTATACCTAAATGCTGCAAATAGGAGGTCATCGTCATCAGTGAAACGTCTTTGCACAACCGTGTACATTGCACGGAATTTTGAACAGAGCATATATCTACGTGTGCGAATAATATTCATGTTGGCAACATGAGTCACCATTTAATCATTTGATGT